ATCAAAATTTTACTTTTCACTAACAGTATTGTCTACAAATTTGGACTCTTTATTTCTCACAGCTTTAGTTCCATTATAGCACAGCATGAACTGATAGATATATAAGATGTGGGGAGGTAGAAAAAATTGATAAAAGTTGCTTCTCATTACACCAGTTAATTTTCCTCTATTACTCCAGTTACTTTTGGTGGCTAGCATGAGTACTTGGAATGTTCTGCACCTATATCTGGCCCATATGTAACAAAGATCAGTGTACTATGTATTTTAATGCATTCCTTACTTCATCATTCTTTGCCATTTGTACCACAGTAGCTCTTAAGTTGGTTCATACCTCTGTTCAGTTTTCTCATTAAAAAAATCTTACTTTATCAATATCTTGATATTGTTTGGTAATTTTCCTCTCTTTAACTGCTAACAAGTTTGTGTTTTTGTTGTTTTTTTAAAAAGATGAATGGAGTTCAAGATAGCAGAAGATGGGGATTGATGTTGTATTTAAATTTTTAAAGAGTGTAGTTATCCAGGAAGCAAGTAAATGGAAGAGATTTCCACAGGCAGAAAATATGTGATAAGAAACTGTTGGAGTAGAACTGGTGATTGCATTTAACTATTAATAGTAAAAGGGTGGGTTATATGCCAATCTAGTAGCATGCTTAAATTCATGTAGTCAGGGCATCAGGGAAAAAAGCTCATCAGAGCTGTTACCATGAAAATATTTATAGAAAAGAAAATGGGAATACGTGCCTTGTCAGTGAGAAAGTGACTGAAGTCGAGATGCCAGGTTGGGATTGATTACATTGCAGATCCTTTTTTGGGTTTTGTCAAGAACCTTGAGATGAATAGCAGGATGCAGCACAACTGAATGGGAATATCCTAGAATTGATCTTTATGAAATTAACTCCTGTTTTTTTTTTTTTTTTTTTTGCTCATAACTGTGACAATCAACATATGAAAATGAAATGCTCAGAGCTGGCTTCCCAGCTTGTATTTATGTGATTGTAACCAGCACATCTTCTTGGTTATAATGCTTTCATTCATCAGTTGTAGCATAGACGTATATATATATATATATATATCTACGTATGAGGTGCTATTGAAGAGGGATTTGACTATGAAAAAATATTTAGATTAAATGCTTGCTTCCGTCATCTGTTGCGAAGTAATATTCTTGCATGTGTATATGACGGATGCATAAAATATTTATACTTTATTTTGTTTGTGTAGGTTGAACATTTGACTTGCACATTGTTTATAAACAAACACACACACACACACACACACACACAGCTTATACATCATTGAATTAAAGTATGGATTTATGTAGCATTTCTACTAAAAATAAATTTGACTTATAAAAATGGTAATACTTATTTTTATTACTATTTTTTTAAATGTTTCTTATAATTAACCAATACGAGATGTCATCATAAATATTAAATTTCCTTATCTTCTTTTCTTCCAAACAATGATATATTACTTTCAGCATTTAAAAATGTAAAGTTTCATTTATTCTTCATGGACATCGAAAAGCAAAAGCACTATAAAAAAACAGTGTAAATTTTACTTTGCTGGGAAGATTTTATTTCATATTGGATATTTCATTTGTCAACAAAACAAAGTATGAATGGAAGAAAGTAAATGAATGATGAGAATTTATTTTTATTTTTCAAGCCGTTAATTTCCCAGAACCTTACTTTGGACATTGTCATTTTTCTTGGCCATTTTATCGAATTCTAAAATTTAGCATGAAAAAATTAGGCCTGTATTTTTTTTTTTTTTGTATTTCTTTCCTCTTTCATTTCTTTCTTTTATTTCCTTTCCTCTTTTATTTCTTTGCCTTTCTTTTTTTTCTCTTTGTGTTTTTTTTCTTTCTTTATTTCCTGTTTTGTTTTTCTTTATTTTTTTTGCCACACTGACTACATAGATTACTCTCTCCCTGGTGAGTCTGGTTGGTTCATCACCTTGGACTCACCTGGTGGTATAAGGGTTCCTACAGCTACCGACCACCTGATGATTGTGTGAAAGTGCATGAAACTAGCAGACGTGGTTGGTCACTCCCAACCTGGAATATATTAAAGCTCTGCCATTTATTATGGCATTGAGCACTCTTTTTTTGCCAGTGTGCAATTTTAGGCAGACTCTTTTGGGAGGCCTTTATCTTTCTCTCTCTCTCTCTATATATATATATATATATATATATATATATATATATATATATATATATATATATATATAGTAATATTTTTCTATCTTCAGAACTTTTCAGTCAATGGGGATAAGTCTTGTTATGTTTCTTCAAATAAAATGTGAATTAAATTATGTCCCCCAATTCAAACTGTCAAGAAAAAAAATTTATATAAAAGTATTTCTATCCACACAAATACATTCTCTGTCTTCCTGTGTGTGTATAATAATAATGATTTCTATCTATAAAAGGCAGGATGTGTGTGTGTAACAAATGCATGGCCGCAATTTTCAACGGATTTGCACCAAACTTTACATGCACATGCTCCAAGTTAGCGGGAAGGCCAAGACCGACTTTGCCGTTCCCAACTCCCATCGATAGTGGAAATAATCGATTTTTTTTTTCATGCTTCTGCAGTAGTTTTCATGTAGTTTGCGGCCATTTTCTACTGGCCAAAGTGAGAGCCTATAGTTGGCTGCCACGAATAGGCAGGAAGATTCTATTGGCCAGCGTGAGAGCCAACAGCTGACTGACACGAATGTTAACTAGCATGCAATAAAAAATTGATAGCTGCATTTGTCACAAGTGGGAAAAATTAAAATCTGCATGGCACTTTACTCCAGTTGGCTCATTCGTTTGCTTAAACTCAACGTTGATTCTGCAGAACTAGGTTGGGTGTGAAAAAATATTTGTTAACATTCTTCTTTCATTCGGTTTTTCCAGTCACGAGTCCTTTTTTAAAGCTGATCGTTTTGTGTTCATTTTGTTTAGTTCTTTTTTCGTAACAGATTTAATGTTTAGTATAGAGCTTAGAAAAAAATTCGCAGTGTGAGATAGGCAAGAAGTAAGGCATGTAGCAACATCGGCATGGCAAAGGGCACTCCTTTAAAGGCAAGGAAGGGCAAAAATATTTTAAGTCAAGTGATAGCGATTGCTGTATGAGTCATATGATTTTTGAATCAAGCACGGGCAATGCTGGGCCATGCTGCTAGTAATATATATTGTGTATTTATGCAGCAATCCCACTTTTATACATGTTTCATTAAAGACAATAGACAGGGTACTGCGATTAAGCTTTTTACTTAATTTTTCTTGTTTTCTTTGCTGGGTACAAAGTGTTGAAACTGTCTAAGGGTTCTGTAATTTCAAGTGCTTTTGGCTATACTTTTTAGCCATTATCACGGATGGTTTTATTTTTACTTTTTAACTGGATTTATGGGTTGTGGGTATGCATCTAGAGTTATAGGGATGTTTTATTTTTCCAAACACAGGACATTGTTGCCATGTTCGTAGTTAATGTGTTGGCTTTTTCTTTTTTATTATTAAGGCTTCCATTATTTTTAATTCTTTTTTTTCATGTGGATGAGGTTATTATGCTTGTATTTTCTACTAGTATGTTTCTGATGGAGTCTGGTAAGTTTGTGTTTAAATGGGTTCTTATGGAGCTGTGGTCAGATAGGTGTAACATAAGGCATGTAGTAGTGTGACTGATGTAATTATTTATGAATTTGGTTGAACACAGTTCCTTAATGGACATTTGAACTCATAAATAATGTTCATTGTAGTTTTGATTTTGTAGGTGTGTTGTTATTTTTGAGAATAAGGTTAGCTGTTTTAAATTTTTTGTGATAGATAATTTTTTTTTTGTTTAGATCAGTGGTGGTAGTGTATTTCTTTATGATATTTCTAAGGGAAGACTCATCTTCTTTGTAGTTGATGCGCATTTGGTTTTTGTAGATATGTTATTTTTGTGTGTGTGTTATTATTTACTTTGGAAAGAAATAGTCTAATCTGGTGGTTGATGAGGTGGTTAGGAAAACCATTGTTAACTAGTGTCTGTTTTGCATTATTGAGTTCTTTAAGGAAAAGTAAATGAGAGGATGAATTCTCATGTGCTCTCGTCAGGAAGTTTGTTATCACTGCTATTTTGTACTAGCAGTAGAGCCCGGCGGGGATCTAACAGTAAGAGATAGATCAAATATCAACCATCATAAAGACTGAAAAATAAAATTGACAAAGATTATTGTTTAAGGTTGACAGACATGCATGTCTTAATTAGTTTTATTTTTTGTTTTGTTTTTTTTATTTATTTATTTTTTTTTTTTTACGAATTGGTCAAACCCAAACTCAAACAAAAACATTGTTTTCAATTGTTATGAGTCTACCGATTGAATAGAATTTTATTATAAACAGTTGTCTTGTAAATGGAATTTTTAAAGCATTCTGAATGTAAAAATAAAGAAAAAAGTGTGCAAGACAATAAGAAACATTACCTGCCAAAAAAAATGAAGTTTTGTTGAAATCGGTTGAAAAATGTAGGAAATCCGATCCCATATATAAAGGAACACACACACACACACACACACACACACACACAAACAACCTGGGTTTTATAATAAGTATAACTCGATATGAGTTGTCCCACTTTCATTCTCATGTCAGTGATGACTCTTAATCGTGTTTTCAAATTGATTTCGTGCAAAAACAATTGTGTTTTTCCAATTTTTGGTGCTGTCAGAACCACCGCAAGGTAATTTTACGTAGTCCTTTGAAGTTTTGTTGAAATCGGTTAAAAAATGTAAGAAATCCGATCCAATATATAAACGTACAGACACACACACACACACACACACACAATCTGCGTTTTATAATAAGTAAGATCTAAGTGAGCATTCACTCTTAAAACTCTTCAAATTAAGGTGGCAAGAGTTTCTGCTAATGGTTTTTTTATGCAGTGAGTTGGTGAAGGTGTGTTCTTACTGTATTCTATGAGGATGTCTAAGAAAGGGAGTTTAATTTTTTTTGACTTAATTCATAGGTAAAGAAAAAACACTGTCCTTAACTTTACCTACAAATATTTGTACTTTCTTTCTTTGCCCCTCCACCCCCCCGACCTTTCTTTCATTGTTTTTTTTTTTTTTTTTTTTTTTTTTTTTTTTTCTCTCTCTCTTTTTTGGTTTGTTTCTTTTCTCTCTCTCTTCCTTTTTGGTTTGTTTCTTTTTCTCTCTCTCTTCCTTTTTGGTTTGTTTCTTTCTTCTCTCTCTTCCTTTTGGTTTGTTTTTCTCTCTCTCTCTTCTTTTTTGGTTGTTTCTTTCTCTCTCTTCCTTTTTTGGTTTGTTTGTTTTTCTCTCTCTCTCTTCCTTTTGGTTTGTTTCTTTCTCTCTCTCTCTTCCTTTTTGGTTTGTTTCTCTCTCTTCCTTTTTGGTTTGTTTCTTTCTCTCTCTCTCTTCCTTTTTGGTTTGTTTCTTTCTCTCTCTCTCTTCCTTTTTGGTTTGTTTCTTTCTCTCTCTCTCTTCCTTTTTGGTTTGTTTCTTTCTCTCTCTCTCTTCCTTTTTGGTTTGTTTCTTTCTCTCTCTCTCTTCCTTTTTGGTTTGTTTTTCTCTCTCTTCCTTTTTTGGTTTGTTTTTTTCTCTCTCTCTTCCTTTTTTGGTTTTTGTTTCTCTCTCTCTCTTCCTTTTTGGTTTGTTTCTTTTCTCTCTCTTCTTTTTGGTTTGTTTCTTCTCTCTTCCTTTTTTGGTTTGTTTTCTCTCTCTCTCTTCCTTTTTGGTTTGTTTCTTTCTCTCTCTCTTCCTTTTTGGTTTGTTTCTTTCTCTCTCTCTTCCTTTTTGGTTTGTTTCTTTCTCTCTCTCTTCCTTTTTGGTTTGTTTCTTTCTCTCTCTCTTCCTTTTTGGTTTGTTTCTTTTCTCTCTCTTCCTTTTTGGTTTGTTTCTTTTCTCTCTCTTCCTTTTTGGTTTGTTTTTTCTCTCTCTTCCTTTTTGGTTTGTTTCTTTCTCTCTCTCTTCCTTTTTGGTTTGTTTCTTTCTCTCTCTCTTCCTTTTTGGTTTGTTTCTTTCTCTCTCTCTTCCTTTTTGGTTTGTTTCTTTCTCTCTCTCTTCCTTTTTGGTTTGTTTCTTTCTCTCTCTCTCTTCCTTTTGGTTTTTTTCTCTCTCTCTTCCTTTTTGGTTTGTTTTTTCTCTCTCTCTTCCTTTTAGGTTTGTTTCTTTTCTCTCTCTCTCTTCCTTTTTGGTTTGTTTTTTCTCTCTCTCTTCCTTTTAGATTTGTTTCTTTCTCTCTCTCTCTTCCTTTTGGTTTGTTTCTTTCTCTCTCTCTTCCTTTTGGTTTTGTTCTTTTTCTCTCTCTCTTCCTTTTTTGGTTTGTTTCTTTTCTCTCTCTCTCTTCCTTTTTGGTTTGTTTCTTTTCTCTCTCTCTTCCTTTTTGGTTTGTTTCTTTTCTCTCTCTCTTCTTTTTTGGTTTGTTTCTTTTTCTCTCTCTCTCTTCCTTTTTGGTTTGTTTCTTTTTCTCTCTCTCTTCCTTTTTTTTTGTTTCTTTCTCTCTCTCTCTTCCTTTTTGGTTTGTTTCTTTCTCTCTCTCTCTTTGGTTTTTTGGTTTGTTTCCTTTTTTTTCTCTCTCTCTTCCTTTTTGGTTTGTTTCTCTTCTTTTTGGTTTGTTTTTCTCTCTCTCTTCCTTTTTGGTTTGTTTCTTTCTCTCTCTCTCTTCCTTTTTGGTTTGTTTTTTTCTCTCTCTCTTCCTTTTTTGGTTTGTTTCTTTTCTCTCTCTCTTCCTTTTTGGTTTGTTTTTCTCTCTCTTCCTTTTTGGTTTGTTTCTTTCTCTCTCTCTTCCTTTTTGGTTTGTTTCTTTCTCTCTCTCTCTTCCTTTTTGGTTTGTTTCTTTCTCTCTCTCTTCCTTTTTGGTTTGTTTCTTTCTCTCTCTCTTCCTTTTAGGTTTGTTTTTTCTCTCTCTTCCTTTTTTGGTTTGTTTCTCTCTCTCTCTTCCTTTTTGGTTTGTTTTTTCTCTCTCTCTTCCTTTTTGGTTTGTTTCTTTCTCTCTCTCTTCTTTTTGGTTTGTTTTTCTCTCTCTTCCTTTTTGGTTTGTTTTTCTCTCTCTTCCTTTTTGGTTTGTTTCTTTCTCTCTCTCTCTTCCTTTTTGGTTTGTTTCTTTCTCTCTCTCTTCCTTTTTGGTTTGTTTCTTTCTGTCTTTCTTCAAGCTCAATCTTCATGTTCTAAAAAAAAGTATGACTCATGAAAGAAGCGAAAATAATGACAGAAAAAGATATTAAAGGCCTTTTTACAAAAAAAGCATATTCCTTTAGGACATATGTAATCAGAGATCTTCACAGATTCCTTTCACTTCTTCTATATGCCATATCCCTTCAAGATGTAGGTGATCATGCCTCTCCATAACTTCCTGTTTTTGTAGCTCTTAATAAATTGTTTTGCTTTTTTTCTCTCCTGCATCTTGCTCTGCCATACATTTAATCAAGCTTGCATGGTAGTTAATCGTTGTTTGCCACTGTCCTTCTTTCCTTCAATATGTCTTGTGAGTAATCATTTTCTCTCATTTTTGCCTCTTCCTGATGCAAAATATAAGTCCTTTTTTGTTCCCATTTTCTCTAAAACTTTGTCTTTCCCCACATGTTTGGTCTATGGTATTCTCAGCATCTTTCTGTAGGACCACATTACTGTTGATTCAAGTCTCTTCATCTCAGAGATGATTGTCCAATATTCGCTGCCATCTGAGCACTTACTATATATGAATTATCATGGCTTCTTTATTTAGTTATATAGTAGTAGTTTACCATTGCCTTTTCCTTACTTTTAAATGCCATGCACCTTCAGGACATAGATGATTATAGGTCTCCACAGATTTTTCTTTCTTATCAGTAAATTGTCATGCATTCTTGGAAAAGATAGTGGAGTGGTTTCCAGTTGCCTTTTTCATGGTTTGCAATTCATGATAGTTCTTCTCTTAAGCCATCAAAGGCTAAGAGCCCAGTTGACCCTGCTATTTGATTTATTGCTGGAAAGTAATATGGATTCATGCTTTTTCACAAGAGCAAGAGAGTGAAAGTGAATATGGCAAACAAGTTGGAATTAGGACAGAAACTGAAATCAACAAACTGAGTCCTAATGAAACAATAGCCAATATGCTCCAACCTTGAGTCATGATGATTTGTAAGTCTGCTAGCACAACCATCAATTGCTTTTGTCTACCCAATTTCATTCTCAAGGCCTAGGTCAACTAATGGCAGGGTTTTCAAGGACTTCCAACAGTTCTACGTGTTAGAATCATCACCCAAAGACATAGTCATCATGGATGGCATATGCAAGTATGTTACACTATCCACACATGCCATTCAAGGTGACCTTAAAATCTTTGTTATAGTTTACTGTTTAATGAATAAAATGGGCAGTCTATTTCAAATACAAACTATCCGCTATAATAATGTTTGAATTAATAAAAATGTTAAATTAGAAATAAATCCATCAATTCTTTATTATATTATATATATATATATAATACAAGTAAAATGTTTGTCAGCTGATTGATGTTACTGATTGTAGAGTTTTATGGATGGACCCTTTGGGAATCGTTACATCTACTTGTCAGAGTGTATTGGCAATTGACATGCATATATATATATAATATACTATAAAGAGGTAATCATACAAAGAATTAATCAGTAAAGTTAATGTAATTAATGGAGAAATCTCTTCGCTAACAAATTTAATAAAGCATTAACCTACTAACCATTCGTTGAATGAAGTGATCTTTATGTTTAAAATTGTAAAATGGATTTGATGTTTCGGTGTGCTAGTACTTTTGAAAATTTTCACAGTTTCATCATCAGGCTTTAATATTTTACCCTTTTCAGGTAACTCCAAGATGAAATAAATGTATTATAGATTGAAAAATGTTTTTTTCTTTTTTTAAATGTGTTATTTATTAACGGTTACATAATTTTGGAATGTGCAGTGCCACAACACTAGTTGTATTTTAAATATTTCAAGTGAGAACATTGTTTTTTTTTTTGTTTTTTTTTTAATATAGTAATATGGTAAATCTACAAATTTTTTTGTTTTAAGTGTTTTTCAGTTAATGTGACATTGGCAAAATGGTTCAAATATTAGAGTATTGTCATAGTAGTTTTTCCAGAAATTTTGTACTGTCGATCAGCTTTTCATGCGTACATTAAATAGTGCAATATATATATTATAAAGAGGTAATCATACAAAGAATTAATCAGTAAAGTTAATGTAATTAATGGCAAAATCTCTTCATTAACAAATTTACTAGATACTTAATACAAGTAAAAGGTTTGTCAGCTGATTGATGTTACCAATTGCAGAGTTTCAAGGACCAACCTTTTGGGAATCATTCCGTTTACTTGTCACAGGGTATCAGCAATTGACACACACACACACACACATATATATATATATATATATATATATATATATATATATATATATATATATATATATATGAATTATTTGGGCAGTAGTCCCTGTTTTATAAAGGTGTTATTGAAGGTGACTCACCAGGCACTACAATTAAGTTTTTTTTCTTTTTTTTATTATATTTTTCTTGCATGTGTACAAGAGATTTCTGTTTGGGACATAGTGTGTAAGAACTGTCCTGGTGATCTTTAGATCTGAGCACTTTCAGCTAATTAGCTTAATTAGCCATTAAGTTAAATTATTTCTCTCTAAATTAAACAATAGTAAGGATAAATATAAAGAAAAGAAAAAACATTAACATTTTCTATAAAAATCAAATTGATGTCAATTATAAAAAAGACGGATTTGCCCTTAGAAATTTTATCCAGAAAAATACGATTATTTATTATAAAAATTTTAAAATGGTCAACCTCATTGTCAGCAATAATGACTCACCAACAAGGTCCGAACTATATAGGACCAATATTATTTATGTATTATTTATAGAACTGCATTTCTGACTAAGACAAATTCATGAATAATAATTACATTGGGCATACAACTACATGCCTATCAAGAAGACTTACTTACATCTCTGAACATAGCTCTAATAGGACCCATTTAAATACACAGGAGCCTATCAACCTCTAACTGCAACATATTTATAGAAAGCAACAGCAGAAATCACTTAAAAATAATTGAAGCCACAAAAAAAAGAAAAAGGAGCCAACTTTTAATAATATTAATTATGAACATGGCTAGAATGTGCTGAGGGTGTTCAAGAATTAAAACAGTTCTGTTGCTTAAAAAAATAAAAATTACATATTCGCACAAACAAAAGCAAACATTCTTGATAACGGTTAATAGATTAACTGAAAGTGCTTGGATCCACAGATCATTTGGACGATTTTTACACACTCTATGCCCCCAAAAGAAATGTTTTGCACATGTGCATGAAAAATGTAATAAAAATGTTAATTGCAGTGCCTTGTCAGTGATCTTCAATGATATATATGCTTTTCTAAGAGGTGCAGGTATTGTGATTGGTGAGCCAAGTTCAAATGCCTGCCAAGTCTGTTGAATTCACTTTTGCAGAAATGTCCTTGGGAAAGGCATGAGCCCACTTCTTCACCAGTTATGGGTTGATTAGAAGGGTAGACTGGGTTATTCCAGCCTTGAGTGATAAGAAGAAAAATCTGAATTCCAAGCTGTGGAGACTAATCCACTACGTTTCCCAAAAATGTGTAGTAATTCATAGATAGGAATATGTGGAGAGTCATGATTGCCTACAATCTTAAGGGCCTTGGCATTTAAAAGAAATGTCCATTAGCTTTTATTTTATTTATTTATTTATTTATTTTTTAAGCAATTCACCTCAAGCAAGGTGATAATGCCACTAAGATGCAAGACATCATGCGAGGCAATGGGTTTGAATATTAGATAATTGTTAGCTTAGTTTGGGATAAGGCCTTAATTGTAAAGCAGTGATAAAAAAAGATTCTGTGGTAAGAACCTGCATGGCTTCTATGTAGGTATTAGCTAAGCTTTGACTGGTACATGCCCTTAATTGTGGGAGCTTCCAATGAAAAACATTTGGTACTAAGAACCCTAGTGGCTTCCATAGGTTAATTTTTTTTCTTCAAATTACCCCAAGCAATGATGATGCCACAAAGGTGCAGGGTTTGAATGGAAGTCAAAGAGACTGAAAAAGACTTTAGAAGAAAATGAGATCCCAATCCTAAACAGGAAACAAGGGACTGGCCTCTACTCCTGTCCAGAAGACCAAGGAGGAGTGTAAACAGGATGATTGGAGATGATCTCAAGTTTGAGACCAGTTACAGTTTGACCAGAAAAACTTTGAAAATTTTGTCGCTGACCAGTCCATATGTTTTTTTATTTTTATTTTTGGTAATTACAATTCTTGAAAGAGAAAAAAGGTAAGTTATTTGTATTTTTTTTGTCATGCAATTCATCAGCTTGGTTTAAGTTGATGGATTCTATTGTTGCTAGAAATGTTTTATTAATATCCAGCTTGGTAACCAAATATGATGGCTTCTATTTGTAATTATGGCTGACAAACCAATTCATTCTCAATATTTATTTATTTTTTTTTTCATTATTTCTTTTTTCCCATTTCTTTTTCATTATTTTTATTCTTTTTCTCTTTACTCGCTTCTCTCTCCTTTCCCTTTGCTCGCTTCTCTCTCCTTTCCCTTTGCTCGCTTCTCTCTCCGTTCCCTTTGCTCGCTTCTCTCTCCTTTCCTCTACTCACTTCTTGCCTTTTTTTCCTCCTCTTTTTCAAGATTGTCTAGCTTTTTTTCCCCCCCATATTTTTATAGATTTTCATTCTTGGGAATATTGTGGAAAAAATATCTGGGGCATATTTTTTATTTTTTTTTTTATTTATATATATATATATATATATATATATATATATATATATATATATAATAATCTTAGATTTTATCTGTTTGGGATAGGTTCCAAGATTACCACTGAATCCTGTTTATACTTTTTTTTTTTTTTTTTTTTTTTTTTTTTTACTTATAGATTCCTACAATATAATTTAATTTATAAATTGGGTAAAATAAGAGATGAACAACAATAATAATAAAAGAGAACAATTATAAGACTGTAATAAATGTTATGGGATGGATAAATGATTAATTCTAACTGGTGATCTTATTAGGCACAATAAGTGATTAACAACAATTCCTTTTTTTATGTGCTGTGTCCCTTTGAAACATTGGCAATCATGGCTATCCACAACTTTCTATCTTCTTTGCAGTTTTTTAATGTAACTTTCTCATTTCTTGTTCTGCTATTCACTTGTAGAAGG